CTCAGTTTTAATTTTCTCAGTGGATAGTGTTATGGAATCGATCTGGGTGCAAACTCTCCACGGGTTTTATAGGTGTGTCTACATTAATTGGTTATCTGACAAGTTTTGGCACCTTGTTCACTTGAGCCTTTGGCCATGTCTGCAAGATCAGTTATTTTCCTCTTTCTGCTGGCTGCCTGACTGAGTGTAGTGAACGGCCATGTGCCCATGCATTTGATTGTATGTTGGACTGCTTGAAACAGATTGCTGCTCCCTACTGTGCTGTCTGCTTTGGACGATGCTATTCGGGAGGAGCGAGCTTGCTGGACACCAGAACTGTCCTGGAGCCTGTGCGTAAACTGGTGATGTTGTCATCCGCTGCGCCGGATGCCGGCCCTTCGGCGCGGAACGAGGTTCAAGCAGACGATCCAGCTAATCGTGACACAGGTGGCGGTGAGCGCGATGATATCGACGAAGACAATGATTTAGATGTTGATCCAAGCACAATCAACTTGGATAATGTTTATGACGAAGAGGAAGGTGATGAGAGAGCGGGTGGAGACTCGGCCACGGAGGGCGACGACGATACAACCACGTGGTTGAATGGAAAACATTCCGGCAAGCCAGAGGGTGCACGGGTTTCCTCTCCGGTGAAGGTCTCTGTAAGCAAGTGTGGGGCACAACCGACTGTAGTAACTGATTCCTCTCCCCCGGATGTCAGATAGATAGATAGCTTTCTATTGCCAGGAGTTTTGTTCAGTGAATTACATAGTTTACGAGGATGTTAGTAAAATAAAGCGTTGCTGGCAAGGCTTGACCTTCATTTGCTCAATGCGGTCCGAAAATAAGTCCGTTCTGACATTGATGCGACCCTCTGCCATCGCCATCCTGGCATGAGCCCTGCCGGCTGGAGGATGCAGCACTGCACGATGGAGTTTTTTCAACCACCGGTCCGATTCGCAGCTATTTCGGTCCAATGAGGCGGCTAACCCACCGTGTTAAACCACCAGTACCCCAGGGGCTCTTAGGCCCCCTCTGACGCAAATGCATATGGACCCACGCGGCGCACAATCGCCATTATCTTGGTCTGAGAGGCGATTACGTATGGCACTTCTTCTTTTCTTTTCTTCGAGCCTGAATCGGACTAAGATAGAGTCCTTATTCAGCCTCTGCGTTAATGCCTAAAAATGCGGTAGGTACTGGTGGTTTAACAAGGGCGCGGCCTTCTGGAACAAAACAGTTGGCGGTAGACGGCAAAAAGAAAATAATTTTGCGCCTTGTTCGAACTTGAGTTTTTTTGGGTGTGCAGCAGTCAGGAAAAAAGGAGCATGAAGGAGCTGGTGGTTTGAAGTGCTACTGGTGATAAGGAGCTAGTGGTTTGAAGTGCTACTGATGATATGCAGAGCTGTTGTGGACCAGTTCAATGGACACCTGTGCCAAAGGAAAGTGCGCATGAGGGATCTACGCTTTCTCTCTTTCTCTTTTTCTCTTTCTCGTTTTCTCTTTCTCTTTTTCTCTTTTTTTGTCCAGGCACACACACACACGCCCATTCTATTCGGGGGTGCACCAGTCCAGTCACTTATCATCTTAGTGTGCCTCATTGTCTGGTAAAGAGGCAAAGCTGTTTCAGTCTTGGATCTACTCATCTGGGTGGGCTGTTGTGTTGACAGTTTACAGCACACAGCCCTGTTTTTCAATCTTGTCTGCTACAGATCGCACCAATGCAGTTGCTTATCAACGGCAAGCAGGTGCATGAACAAGATACAGGGAAACAGCACGAGGGATAACAGACGAAAAGAAGAATACAGAGCCTGGCATTTCAGAGGCACAAGCCAGAAGGGATCTGCTCTTTCATGGTGTTCCCGAGTTCTCGACAGGAGTTGTTAGCTGCACTCAAAGCCTGTTCCGCGATTTGCAATCTAACGATGCAGACACTTGTTGTTCCCTGGAAGTGCCTTCTTGCATGGCCGCGTTACACGGTGAGTGGGAGGCTCTTCATTGCTAGGCTCTTCATTGCTGCTTCGTCAGTTTGCCCTTTTTTCCTTTATGATATTATTATTATTATGTTCAATCAGTCTTCAGTTCTTGTTCCCTGCGGGTTACTCTTCAGTTCTTCATTGAGAGGTAAGGTGCACTTGCCATATGGCAGCTATTGTTGTGGATCTGTATGTGGTTGTGTCTTTCGATTGATCGATTGATGGATAACTCTTGTGCCGTTGAGTGTGTGTGGTGTGGTTGTGTCTCTTTTTTTTCTGTGTGGTTGTCTTTTGATTGGCCAATTGATGTATATCTCTTGTGCTGGTGAGCGTGTGTGTGTGATTGATTGATGAGCCAATTGGCTTCCCTTTGTTCTGTGCACAACAGGTTCTGATTCCTTATTTCTCCCATCTCAACTGTTACCTCGTTGTGGTTGTTAGGAGGATGGGTGACCAGTCGAACCCATAGCTACCGTCTTCAGACTCTTCACTCAAATAGAACGTCCGGTCATTATGGCCGCATCTGGACTAAAAGTTGCCCCAAATACGAATATAATGGTCTGGCATCCTATTCGGGTGAAGACGGTAGTGCAAACTCTCTGGCCACGTGTTGCGCTTGCAAAGTTCGTGAATCGTCTCGACCAAGTATGACTGTCTTTTTTTGTTGCTGGCTGCTGGTTCTGAAGCGTGTTGAGAGTACCACCTCATGCTTTCATTTGGAAGATAACTTCTTGTGTGCCAATGTGTGGCATATTCACATCTGCGCACTTTCATTCGGCCATATACATCCGGGAAAGTATTGGTGCCAGTATTCTCTTCGTGTTGTTCCGTGCCTTTGCTAGGCAAGGCTTCAAATTGAGGGAAGTTCCGTGTGCTTTCATGGGCAAAAAGATTTCCTGTGGGCCATACTTGCAGTTGAAAGATTGTGACTGAATCTGGGCATGAAACCATGGGCTATGAGGAGAGCATTGAGGACACTTCACAGAAGTTTTGGGGTCCACCATATCGGACCGGCCGCCTTTAGGCTGCTGGATGCCTTTTCTTTTTTTTCTTTTTTTAATACCTTTTCGTATACGGCCGCTAGGTGAGGGTACTGGGGCTTTCAAATTTTGGTCATATGAATTCTGGAAAGTGATATGGTGGGGGTTTACCCTTCTCGTTGGCCCTCACTGGTATTAGGTAAAGGGAGGCCAGCTGACGTAGACCGCCAAACAGAGGCCAGCGGTGAAGGGGCATGATCAGTTGTGCTTCCGTTGAACAGAATGTCCGGTCACTGCTTCTGTATTCAGACAATTTTTCGGTAATATGCAGACATGATGACTTCATTTTATTACTTCTGGAGAGAAGTTATTAAATGTATGAACATTTATCTGTTTAAATTATCTAAACAAAAAAGAAGGTATTGACTGTATGGCATTGTATCACTGACTTAGCACTGACTTAGCACTTAGCAATGACTTAGCAATGACTTAAACCACAGTACACGGCCTCAGCCTTGCAGCAACATAACTTGTCACCACAAGAAGTAAAAGGCGGGCTCGGGGCAGGGTTGGAGCGTCAGAAGGTTTTCAAATTTTTGGGCCCATCTCAAATCCGTACATCCCAGAAAACGAAAAAAGCCTTTGGCCGTGATTGCAGTTGGATACACTTTATGGATGGAGTACTCGTGCGAGTTTGCTATCAGTGAGGGCACTTCAGAAGAACGTAGAACACGGGGACCAGGACTGTCGGACTCTCAAAAAAAGAACAAAAAAAAAAAAAAGCCTTTGGCCGTGATTGCAGTTGGATACACTTTATGGAGTACTCGTGCGAGTTTGCCCTCAGTGAGGGCACTTCAATAGAATGTAGAACACGGGGAGCAGGACTGTCGGACTCTCAAAAAAAGAACAAAAAATGAAAAGCCTTGGGCCGTGATTGCAGTTGGATACACTTTTTGGAGTACTCGTGCGAGTTTGGGCCTCGTTAGACCCTCCTTGGAAAATTTTCCGGTTTTCGGCGACGTGGTTACACTGCGTTCTAATTCAATGGGTCCCAAGGAAAACCCTTGGAGGTCTCCAGCGGCCAATTTCATACGAATACACGTGGCCGTGGGGGTGGATGCCCGACATCGTGCTGGGATGTCTGTGCGTCCTTGGGCGTGGTCCACTGGCGGCGGCAGGGAGGCCTACCGGGCTGACGGGAAAAAAGGGCGCCAACATCCTGTTCCAATTTCAGATTTTGAACCCTCCATTGTGACACATCGGTGCGTGAGGCGTCCTGGCGGCTGGACTGGAGACTGGGGCGAAACGTCTGTGCGGAGGAGTGATGGCGGCCATGGCTTAAAAGGATGGCATTGGAACGTTGGGCGATGTAGCGTGTATGCGTAACGGTTCTCTACTGCAACGTCGCCTTCGTGTTCCGCATGCTCTTCGGGCCGTCATAGCTTAGCGCGAACGGAACGCTTCCATGAAACCTGGAGAGTGCGAGCACGGTCCCCATCGACTTGCAGAAGGTGCAGGGAGGGCACCGGCGGGCGAACGAGTGGTGGGTGCTTGCGCATTACAAGTCCTGACGATGGAACGAGAGCTTCCGGGTGGTGCGAAGGCATTAACGGCATTGGAGAGAAACACGGTGGTCGCAGCTGTGTCAGTCTTAGCCGCCATGCGTTATCGCGTTGAGAGAACGACAACTCGCCTGAGGATGAGATTGTTCGTTCGCAGGCAGAGACAGTTGATGCAACGGGTGATGGATGCACCTGATTGTGTATCGTTATTGGAATCCATTGTGCAATTCTGCTGCGCCATGGCATCGGGTGTGATCCCACGGGTGACGCTGAGATGGTGGATGAGGAGAAGGATGGGAGGGACATGGGAGGATCTTCGACAGGTTGACGACGCAGCGGAGGGCAACTACAAGGAGAAGCTGCGGAGTGGAGTATTCAATGGCGTGCGTCGGTTGTCTGCTGGAGGTTTCCCGCCTGCCCATTCTCGTCTTCCTCACTGTTCGTCGTTTCTGTCTGCTGTCAGGACCCTGCACAACGATGCACACGTGGAACAACACGACAAGGAGGAAAAGAGTGGCCAGCAGCAGGAGCGGGAACCGCCGGAGGACGTCTGCCATGAATCGCAACTTGCGAGGCGAGTACCAAACAAAGCTTGCATCAATGTGCCTGACAATAGCCGACAAAACACGCTAGGCAGATGCCTGCAATCGACCGACAGCGCTTCAACATCGTTTGTAGAAAAATTTAAAAAATTGACAGTTGGACAGCACCGCCGGCGACACGCGCATTGAAAACCCTGCTTCGTGAAGCGCCTTGCAACTGAAGAACCACCCCCACACATTTTCAGGCCAACGATAACAGTGGACGGCCGTTGGGGGCTTGTTGGGTACTGGAGGCCGGCGATGTCCGCCCAATGGACCACGGATGACCTGTGCACCAACATCGACTCCAAATTTTCCTGTAGGCACTCGTTCCAGAACACTCCGTCAATCGCGGCTCCTTGAACCCAAGGGACCTCGCGAGGACCTCTTGAATCCAAGGACAGTTTGGCTGGGGATTCTGAGGAATCCAAGGAAATCTCTCGAGAGCGTTTTCACATTCATTCAAGGAATTTGGTGAATTAGGACGCGGTGTAACGATGCCGATTTCCTAAAACTCGGATCTCCAAGGAGGGCCTAACGAGGCCCTTTGCCCTCAGTGAGGGCAGTTCAGCAGAACTTAGAACACGGCGAGCAGGACTGTTGGATTCTCAAAAAAAGAACCAAAAAAAAAACTCAAAAAAAAAAGTCAGCAACGCTTTGGCTGTGAAAGTGGTTGGATGCATTTCAAAGTCCCTAGTGTGAGTATGCCCTCAGCAAGGGTGTTTTGAGCAAGAGGAATATGCGCTGCCTTGCTGGCAGGGCCAGGAAGAAAAAAAAAAACGAGAAAAAAAGGAAAAACAGCATCGTTTCTCTCCTTGTAATAGTGGTCAGATGCAATCAGGAAAGTGATCATTTGCATATGGCATCAATGACCTCCTTTCACAACATCATTGCTCTCTGGCATGTTTGTTTCTTTCTTTTCTTTTCTTTTCCTTTTTCCCTTCAGGCAGACCGCGTGCACCAGTGCCACTTGCGAAGTTTCCACTGCAGGTACCTTCATGCAGAACGCAGAAGGCTCGGAAAATAGTGGATCAGTGGGCAGGTAGGTTCGGGATTTTAGGTGCGGGTGTACTGGTGGTTTAACACTTAACTTAGAAGTGTTAGCAAACACTTGGTCGACTTATCCCTATCTTAGCCCCAACTTAGCACTTAACTTCATTTTGACTTAGCGCTTGGCACTGACTTAGCACTGACTTAGCACTGACTTAGCACACCTAGCCCCACTTACTTTATTTTGACTCAGTGCATTTTGACTTAGTGCTTGGCACTGACTTAGCACTGACTTAGCACACAGCCCCAATTGAGCACGTACTTTTTTTTGACTTAGCACTGACTTAACACTGACGTAGCACTGACTTAGCATCGACTTAGCACACACTTCGCCCCAACTTAGCACTTGCTTTTTTCTACTTAGTGCTTGGCACTGACGTAGCACGCACTTATCCCGAACTTCAACCGACTCAGCTCCAAGTTAGCGACTTACTTTTTTCTACTTAGTGCTTGGCACAGAAACTTTTTTCTACTTAGTGCTTGGCACAGAAACTTTTTTCTACTTAGTGCTTTGACTTAGTGCTTGAACCGACTCAGCTCCAAGTTAGCCCCGGCGTAGCACTTACTCTATTTTGACTTAGTGCTGATTTAATGCTGACCTAGTGCTCTAACGAAACACAGACTTACCGCCGACGTACACACACNTGACCTAGTGCTCTAACGAAACACAGACTTACCGCCGACGTACACACACCGCCATCAAGCAACAGTACAGTGAGGTGGAGGTGATTCAGGTGAAGGATGGATTTGAACCGACATTCAGGGATGTGCAGTCCAACACGTTACCTCTATGTTACTTGCAGCAATTAGGGATCCGTAGGTCTGGGCCTTAGACCACTTCCATGCAAGCACAAATTCGCGCCAGCAGCCTTCGCAGTGTTACACTAAAACATGGTGGTGGTTGAACGAGGGCTGAAAATGTTTTGGTTGAAAGTTGATACATGAATTGGAATGGAATAGGAAGAATGAAAATGACATCTGATAAATTTGGAACGATACGTGTAGCAAATGAGCCTTGCGCAAGGATGATATGCGTACATCGGGACACGATACAAATGTTTAATCCGCACTTGCAGGGGGAAAAAAAATAAAAAAATTGGATATGACTTCTGTTAAAATTGGAATAATACAGAAACTGAAGATGAGTGTAGTAGCTCCTACCCTATGCAAAGGATGGTACGCATGCATAAATTTAGAAATGGTGCAAATTTTTAATCTTTGCTTTGAACAACAAATATTTTTGCCTTGACAAGTAAAAAAGATGTGCCATAGGTAGAGCTCATTTTATTGTTAGTATCGATGAGGTTACAACTTACAAACACAGTTGCAGGTCAAGTCAACTCCAAGCATGACAAGTCAACTCGAAGCGTGACTGAACATACACAGCAAGTAGATCATACAGAATGAAGTTTTTTTTTTTTTTTTTTTTTTTTTGTAAGCTCAATTCCTCGATAGTTACGGCCAACAATGTTCCACAATCCCAGATCCACCATGTGTTCCACATACCCGACGGGCACCACCGCGAAGCGGTAGTGAGTGTCCCGTAAGAGGTCGAGTCCATTGTAGCGAAAGCCTATATACTACTACGTGCTGCATGATTCCATACATCCAATCTGACACGCTCGTTAAAAGATCCCCAAGTCCCAAATGGTACCCGAAAATAGCCACCCGTGGGGTCAACAGACCCACTCGCAATACTCGTAACGTCTAGAGACTCACCAAATGCATACCCCGTTCGAAATCTGAGGCGCCAAGGCCTACTAGGGCTCACGCGTCAAAAAGAGGCTATCAAAACAATTCCTACCCTCATATTACTACACTGAAAAGAGACCACAGAAAAAAAGCCCCTGTCCGCCTATCAAATACTACTGAGATCATACCAAGCGCCCCTGTACACAAAACAATCAGTACTGCAGACCAATGCCAGCATGACAAACAACATCAAAATCGTGTGATTACCTAAACAACTCTGTCCGCCTGTTCAACACCCCGTTACGAGGTCCACAGTAAGTTTCCAAATCCCATCATGTCGAAAGGCAAAACGTCGGAGAGTTTGTTCGAAGAAGTCAGCTGGGACGTCCTTCAGGCGAAGTTCCCGTCTCAGAGATAGTACTTGACCCGGAATCTCAATGCGGATCGAAGTGTTTTGTTCAATCCGATGGAGATAACTCGCAATAGCAGCACTTTTTTGCTGTTTGCTACCCCAGGACAAAAAAGACTGCCCTGTCTGGAACTCCAGTTCACCCAGTCCCCACATGCTAGCCTCATTGCGCGACATCTGTACACAACCAATATACGGGTAATGATTGGAACAACGGACCTCACACCCTGTATTTGTCCTTTTCAGAGATAGGTTCCGCGGGTAACAGTTCGAAAAGCTCTGTAATACCCGGTCCAGAGGTTCACCATGAGCGAGGCGATCACCAGCATAACATCATCGACCAACCGGATTCCAAACACAAACCGGGCAAAACGGCCCAGACCATTGAGAAACAAATGTTCAGAGTAGGCACAAAGGATGCATGCCAATGGGGGGCTGGTGCTCTTCCCCATCGGTATGCCAACATCCTGTCGGAGGACCACAGACGTTGCACAAGTGTACGTGTGCCTCAAATCAATCGACACGAATTGTAAAATCTCCCCAAAGTCAATCTTCCTCCAATGGTCAGCTCCAGTTGACCTCCCAAAAGAGGGACCATGCCCCCTAGGGTTGACTCGAACAAACATACGTCCCTTCCCCTCATGGTGATCAAACAGCCATTGTACCGCCCTCAGAATCTCATTGTGCGGTAATCTACTAAACATGTCTTTAATATCATAGCAACGTGAGGTGATGTTAACGGGTCCCGGCAAACCCTGAGTCCTAGAGTTGGCCACGTCAAGCTTTTCGTCTTCAGCTTAGAGACAGTGGGAAGGTTAAAATGACTGTTGGCAGGCAGCCGGGTCAACAAAAAATTCAAGCTTTTGGCCACAGCCCTACCCGTGCGAACCATAGGTTCGCTATAGGTTGGGCAAATGGGACGATACCTCATCAGGTCCTTATGTTTTGGGATAACATAAGCCGATCCCAATGAGCCCTTGTCTTCCCATTGAGCAAACTTCAGTACACCAGCCGCTTTCATGTCCTCTCTTACTTTCCGTAGCACAACTGCTTCCGGAGCAGACACAACCGTATATGCCTTATTACGAACAAACGTGTCCATCATTGCATCAAAATATAACTTCGGACACATCACCACCGTCTCTCCCGGATTACAGTCGAGCGGGGTGAGTGCTAGTCCATCAAACTGATTCTTAACCCGTTCAACATCATGGAGGAAAAGGCGACCACTACTGGTTTCCTCTATGGAATTCATGCACGATTTCAACACATCAAGGTGTACCCTCGTCGACTTCCCACACAGGTTCCGCCAGCTGGAGAAACCCTGCTCAATCCCCAATCGTAGAGATCTTAACCGATCAGACGTTCATGCCAGCGGGATATTATTAGCATTCGCTAATAGAGGATTATCAACAAACTCCTTTAGATGAAAGTGCACGTCTCCTCCCATCCGTGGATAGGGTAATCCTGTGCAGTGACAGGTCAGTACACTACAGGAACTGTATCTCCTGTGATTGTGTAGTAGATCCCCGACCGTCTGGTTCTTAAGCCAAACAATACGGGTCTTTTTGCGTGTCCTTCGTGAGAAGCAAGGAGGTAAGTTACAATCCATCAACATATCATTCACAACCTTACGTAATTCACACACATTAATCATGTCATCAAACTTTACTCTGATAAGCAAATCTGCACTCAAACTAAGGTCGAAACGATCGAGAAAATTGCGAGAAATAAGCCTACGAAGATATTTCCTCGTTGATTTTTGCGAGAAATCCTTCGCGGCACCATAGAGTCGGAGCATAGAGCGTATATCCCATTTCCGGAAACGATCGATGGTACGTGGATTCTTAAGAAGAGAGATAAGCAAGCCTTTCAAAAAGCGACACTTTGGTTTCCAAGACACGAGATGCTCAATCACTACCTGTCCCTCCGTCTCAAACCAAACTTTGCATTCCCTCAGCAGACGCGTCTCAGCCTGCCGTGAGATCTTAGCATCGCCGAATCTGCGCACAATACTCTTCCAAGTAGCTTGCCAAGTGTTCCCTCCACTACTATGCAACACAAAACGATGACACCCGTCCGTCACTTGACATTTGACCACTTGAAACAAATCCAACTGCCAATCATCCCTCACTGATAACCGAAACCGAATCGGTGTAATCGAACGCTGCGAGCACCTTGTTGATTTCCCCAATCGTGCACGTTCGTTTTTACCCATTGGTTTGCCCTTCAGCTTACGTTGGTTACACTTACGAACACCAGCGGTGTTGAGGAAAGGGGACCACTGTCAAATGTAAACACTCTCGAGCTTGGTCAACTCAACGATAGATTCACAAAAGTAAGTCGCAACAACTCCTCGATACATGGATTGACAACCCCAATCAGAGTACGTAACTTAATCAAGCATCGGACTACATACCACAAGTCGGCAATACTGAGGGCACATCACCCCTCTTCCTCCTCCCGCTCCTTCTCAGTCACAGCTTCCATACTTACCACTGGTGGTGCTAACACCTCCTCGTCATTATCCGAATTGTAGGCAACATGAGTGCGATGCGCAGCAATGGCAAGGATTACCTCGAATTTTCCATTATAAGGAATTCCTTCATCTTTGCAGATGTTCTGCAAGACCAGCGCATCCAGATTCTTGAGATCGTTAAGAACCTGCTTCTCAAAATGCAGCTTCCCAACGATCCCAATAGTCGCAGGTGTCTTCTTGCGAATTAACGGTGGTGTCTTCTTCGGTGTAGCGGCCTTCTGCGTACGGGCCCTCGATCTTGTCAGCCTTCCAGGTCCGCCCGTAGCATGTGTCGCACGTACCGCTGTACGCTTGGGAGGCAGCTCCATCGGCGGACTGCCTTCAATCGCCGCTTCCGGTCCGTGTTTGCACTTCTCAGAAATGCACAGGCGGCGCGTCTGGAGGTTCAGTTCCTCAGTCTCACTACTACTAGCATCACTTTCCTCAGCCGACGTAATCGGATCGGTCTTCTTCTGTTTCCCGCGAGCCACCGGTACCACCAACTCGTTGATTGCTTCCCGGATCTCCTGCCGGACGTCCTCCCGAACATCCTCACGCAATTCCCCTACTCCCACTGCCATACGAATATCCAAACTCTTATGAAGCTCTTCTTTAGCTTCCGCCTCCTTGCACGTTTGTTCGTCCTTCTTCTAGTTAGTAAGCAAAGCGGCCGCTCGTTCCGCCTCGGCTCGTTCCTCCACTTCCTTACGCTCTGCCTTTTTGTGTTCCTTCGCCGCTTTCTTTTGCTGCTCCACTTCCACGTACTGACAAACAGCAGCGACACTCTTGCCTATCTCCGCTACTTTAGTTTCCAGCAGATCACAGGTCGGACGTCTACGCATGGGGCTACCGCCACCCGGACTTGTCGACGTTGAGGGTTGGTTGCGTCGTGGGAGGGTGGCACTGGTTCGCGTAGTGCCCCGGTTCATCACATTTGTAACAAATAATTGGCCCACGCTGCACACCTCTATCAAAACTCCGATCACCACTCCTCCGGTCACCCTCGTAACTCCAATTGCTTCCATCTCCACGATCACTGTCGTATCCACGGTGACCTCTACTGTACTCACGGTGTCCGCCATAGTCACGTCCACCACCGCCATGGCTGCGGTTGCTGCCGCCATAGTCGCGGCCATCCCCAGGGCCCGCCATCTCGTCCGCAGGCGTAACGCTGGTTCTTACCGCCAATAGAAAATCACCTGTATCCCCTACAGCCAACGTAAACGCCACACGCAGTACCTAAGCTGCTATCGGTATGCAAACCACAAAGAAGACCAAGCCCAGACGTGCACAGCACGTTAAAATCGATGTGACTCCACAATCCCAATACGAACTACAGCCGTAGCCGCTGTAAAGATGCGGGAAGCAAAAGAACGAATAGCCTATCACTTGTTAACTCGTGATCACTTATCCCAGCTGCTTGACTCCGGGATCGTTCACACGTGCCTTAGATAGTATCGATGAGGTTACAAACACAGTTGCAGGTCAAGTCAACTCCAAGCATGACAAGTCAACTCCAAGCATGACTGAACATACACAGCAAGTAGATCATACAGAACGAAGGTTTTTTTTTTTTTTTTTTTTTTTTTTTTTTTTTTTTTTTTTTTTTTAGCTCAATTCCTCGCTGGTTACAGCTAACAACGTTCCACAACCCCAGATCCACCATGCGGTCCACGTACCCGACGGTCACCACCGCGAAGCGGTAGTGAGCGTCCCGTAAGAGGTCGAGTCCATTGTAGCTAAAGCTTACATACCACTACGTGGTGCATGATTCCATACGTCCGATCTGACACGCTCCTCAAAAGATCCCCAAGTCCCAAACGGTACCCGAAAATAGCCACCCGTGGGGTCAACAGACCCACTCGCAATACTCGTAACGTCTAGAGACCTACCAAATGCATACCGTGCTCGAAATCTGAGGCGCCAAGGCCTACTCGGGCTCACGCGTCAAAAACAAGCTATCAAAACAATTCCTACCCTCAAATTACTACACTGAAAAAAGACCACAGAAAAAAAGCCCCTCTCCGCCTATCAACAAACTCATTTTATTGTTAGCTGCAGGATCAGGAAACGTGACCGCTAACTCATTTAGCACTGATGCATTACCGTCTTCCCCGGGATAGAATACCCAGTCATTATCCTTGTATCTTCGTTGTATCTAAACAGAAAATTGCCCTAAATATAGTTATAATGACCAGATGTTCTCTTCGAGTGGACGTGCATGTGATTAAGTGGGAGCTGTACTTGTTTTGTTTCTCAAATTTGATAGGTAGTGCTTCAAATGCTCGGGAGTTGGTTCAATTTTTGCATTTTTTAAAGAAATTTATTTTACTTTACTTCAATTTCAATATTTTTGGGGATAAATTTATTTTTTATATCCGACTTTTTATAAATGTTTGAAAGACACTTCTACTATGGCAAACGCTGCGGAAATTTCTGCAAATTCAAGGAGTTAGTTTAATTTTGCCTTTCGCAAAGTTTGATTTTCTAACTTTATAAGATTATATATGATTTAGTAGAAATCTGAGAAGCCTGCTTCTCTAAAGGAGATGTTAGCTAAATGTTTACTAATTTAAAGCGTCGAACAAAATTTGGCTTTGAGAAGTCAAGAGGTTATTTTAGATGTTGTATTTAGCCTTGTACAGGGTTGTTAGGCTGAAGATACGGAGGTCCCTAAGCTGACCCCCGAACGTTCGGGTGTTCGGGTCCCCGTACGGAGTGTGAACTTGAAGGGGTTTGGACCCCGTAAAAAAATATTTTTGCACGTTTTTTTTTTTTTTGAATTTTTATTTTGTGAGTCCTTTGTGATGTAAGGTATGTCCCTCTTAATTTTGAAGTCATTCTGTTCAACCAAAAAAGACAAAAAATCGGCAAAAATGGTGGTGTAAAAACTTCCTTGCCCACTCACTAATTTTTTTTTTTTTTTTTTTTTTTTTGAGGCATTAAATGTTTATTATTTTTTTGAACTTTTTTTGTATATTTTCTATTATGAAAAATACAAATATATAAATTTTTATGGCATGCTTAACAGCCAAACAATAATGAAAAATCATCGAAGATGGCGGTGTAAAAAATGTGATCATCCACCCAATAATTTTATTTTTGTATTTTTAAAAAATTTTAATTATTATTATTTATTTATTAGTATTTGATTTTTATTTTAAATTTGGTAAAGAATCTTTGATGTATCGTTGGGGCAAATGTTGTTTAGTTTATTCTTCTGTATAACATATATATTTTTTAGATTTTTTGGATTTTTTTTTTTGTGGGGGGGGGGGTGCGTTGGTCGAATGACAGAACGCGTTGAGAGGGGGTGTCGAAGGTTCCAGCCTTTGGCCCGTCCTGAATGCCGGAAACCCTGGTCTTGTATAAATTTTGGAGAATTTTAGAGAAATATTCTTTTTATGGGAAAAGCTGTCGTTTACAAGTTCAAGTTAGGTAAATATTGCCTTGACACAATTGAAGTTTTATTGTGACTTCATACATGATTTAATATAAAGCAGGGAAGCCTTCTTGTCTAATTATATGCTGCCCAAAGTTTTACTCATTCAAGGAGTTGTACAAAATTTGACTTCTAAAGTTAGAAGATTGCTTTCATATTTTATATTCAATCTTATATAAGTTTTGCAAAGGTATTTCTTAAAGGGAAGCGCTGCTGAAATTTCTTGCAACCTACAGTTATAATATTTTTAGGACCTGACGGTTGTTTGATAGTCTGCCCTCACGTAGGGGAGATAGTGCCAAAATTCTTGACACTTTCAGATACGTATCAGAGGTGAGGTAGGAAGGCAGGATTCTTTCAAAATACTCTAGCATAACTTGGGTACAGGTATGTCTTGTGTTACAGTTCATTTTTATTTTTAGATTGATTCGAGGTTTAATTAATTTTCGGCTGATTCAATGAGGATCATTTTTTGTTATCCTTTGATAAGCGGTCGGTTTCTAACTCAACCTAAGGCCTTAACCTTTGTGAATTGAAATATTTTTTTAAAGTTTTACCACCACATGAAGGCCATACTGTTGTCAAAGCCGACCTCCACACGAGTGCACTTGCATTACAGTTATCCGTACCAACCAAGAGAAATATCATTTAATCCTAGTTTAATAAAAAACAATACGAAAATTGACTGACAACTGTGCTGACTTTACAATCATCAACAAAGAAAAGAGATCATGCGCGCCTTAAATCTGTGCGCCCACACACTCTCTATTTTTAGTCAAGCAATTGGCCAGCGTAAAAGAAAAGCAGAGTCGCGACTCGCGCGGTGCACTCAAATTACATGTCAAAACTAATTTTCTGTCACTTGCAAAAATCAGGGCAGGTACCCTTGTAAGGGTATTTGCACCAACAACGTTCATAATACATGATCCCATAAGGGACCCAGTCAATCGCAAACAAAATCACCTGCCTTCCTCCAATTTACCCCCTTTTGTCTGACTCTAAGCAGCAAACACAAAGTAAGATGCATGCATGCTTTGCTTTTACTTAGTCTGATTAAGTTCCAAAAAGAAACAATAAAACATATGTTGCATGCATATGTATGACTTAGACTAAAGAGGTATAAAGAAAGAGGTATACTTGGTTCGTGCAAGGTAGGGGAAGTATACCTGGCAGTTCCCTGCCTCCGAAACCTCGCCTAGGTTCTGGCAAAGCTCCCGCGATCAGTGAGGTGAACCATCCACAGAAACCTTGAGATGATCTTGTGGGTTGCCATCCCATGTGCCTCCTTCCTCTCTGAACCAGTTAGACTAGACCGAGAGTGAGAAAGGCAAAAAGATAAGCATTAAGTTGCTCATATACAAGGGAGGTACACTCAGACTCACATAAGAGGGTCTTGAAACCTTTAATCGCCTGAAGGCTCCGTAGCGGTGGCCAAAATGCAAAGGAAGGGCCAACACGTGGCCAAAACACTTAGCAAATGACCCTCTGACAGCCTCCAAGTTACAACAACCACCATCTTGCAGAGCCTGACCCACCCCTTTTAAGGATATGGTGCCTCTCCTCAAACCGAATTGTTGCTACGCAACCTATAAAGGTTGCATTCGAATAGAGCACATCTCCATGCGTTCTATTCGAGCGCGGGCGTAAATGCAGCAGTCTACAACAGCAGTGGGCCGCAAACGCAGTAAAATCTTAGCAATACACAACAACAGCAAAAACAGCAAAGCTGCAAAATACAATAGTCTCGAAATGACAATATGCTGCCCTGCCGTAAAAATCCGCAATGCTTGGCAGAATCAAACCGCCTTGAGAACCGAAACCCCATCGGTAGTAGCAGTCGCCTGCCCCTTGCAACAACAGCAACAACAGTGATATCTAAGTACATCACATCAACTTGGTGGACTTGTAGCAGTTTATTTGCTGAGAAGAATCAGGAATAATAACACAGCTCACAAACAATGATTCGTTGAGTCAACAACAACCGTGAATAATAGTAGTTCCCTCGACCAAGGAGAAAACTTCAAGAGCTCGTATTGACTGATCGTAGCTTTAGAGGAGATACAAGGGGCTCTTCAAATAGCAGAGATATTACCTCGAAGCTCATTCATGGGCCTCGATCACGCAATGTGCATTGAGGTATTTGCCTTTAGGAAGAAACCGGACCAGGGCAGAGGTTTTTATAAACTTAATACCTCCCTCTTGACCTACGATCGCTTGAAAACCTATCTTAAGGAAGTTTGGTCCTTCTGGCAGGAGCAAAGGGACCAAATCAGTAACCATGTAGTATGGTTAAACAACGGCCTAGAGTTTCTACGCCGCAAGTGCAATGAGTACTCTAAACTCCTCGCAAAGCAGCACCACGCTGAAGAGGTAAGCCTACAACATCAACTTTAACTACTGCAACAACAGGAAGATGACACAGATGACACTGAGCAACAAGCCGAAATTGTTAACGCCATTTAAGCCCTGGAAGCTTGTCTTCTAGGCTACATGAAACACCGATGGTAGGGAACCCGAATCCGTCGGAAGCTCTCTAGACACACCACAGAAGGTGTTATGGATGCACGATTCTTTGAAAAGGCCAAGGCTAAAACCGGAAGGGCAATAATCGAAGTCTTGGAAGACCCTAAATGCGTTCAAGGGCCCTTACACACATCCACGACAGCCTTCACAAAAATAGCTAGGGATTTCTACCAGACCCTATTTACAACAAAATGCGAAAATCTCGCCACAACACAGCGTATGGAGGAAATCAAAATTTCCCTACAGC